TAGAATCTTCCCCGAATGCCATTAAGCACAAGTTTGCTACTTCTTGTTCCTCTTCATCTGAACTTTCTTCACGCTCCATGTAGCCACATGAGCCTTGTGCTTATTCTTGATTGACCCTTTCTCTTCAATTGTGGGCAATCATATTTGACATGCCCCGGCTTTTGCATTCATAGCAAATGGGTCCTTCTCTTTTGTCATTTTTTAGGCCTTCATTTCGTTTAAATTTTCTTCCTCGGTAAGGTCTCATCATTTTCTGAACCGTTTGGCAAACAATGCCATTTCCTCGTCATCGTCATCTTCATCTGAATCACTCTCATTTTTTGTGGATTTGAGAGCAACTCTAATTTTTTCTTCTTCTCCTTCTCCTTCGGTGTCTCTTCAATCCTATCAAGTCCACCTCATCTTCAAGAATCATGAGTGATGAGGAGTAAACCGATTAGCTCTTCAAGAGTTAAGGATGTTAGATCCTTAGACTCGATGATTGCCGTCTTTTGATTGCCACGATTTTGGGAGGGAGTAGACTACCTTCCTCACAGCTTTTCATTTGAAATGATCTCTCCGTATAATTTGAGACCATGACATTCGTGAAAATCTATCCGTCATAGCTTTGATATCTTCATTTGGTTTCATCCTGAAATTTTCATAGCTATGCGTAGAATACTAATTTTAGATTTCTTTACCTCATCGGTACCTTCATGAGTGACTTGAAGTTTGGGCCCATATTTCTTTGGCGGTTGTACAAGATGAATCTCTTTCGTATTCATCTGGTCCAAGAGCACAAATATGATATGGATGGCTTTGGAGTTGAGCTGGAACATTTTTGTCTCTCCTTCACTCCATAATCTTGGATGAGTGAGAGGCTTGAAGTATCCTTCTTCTACGACATTCCATGCTCCCATGTTACTTTCTGAATGAAGTACTCATCCTATTTTTCCAATAGGCATAATTAGCCCCATTGAAGAAAGGAGGCTTGTTGACGGGCATTGAATCAAGACCGGAGTCGAAGTTTAAAGTAGAGGCCATTGATGACTTTGATTATCGATGTAACTCTTCCCGAATCGAATCAAGAGGTGTTAAACCTTCAATGAGTTAGGCCTCTGATGCCAATTGTTGAGTTAATCGATTGACGAAATTGGCTAAGAGGGGGTGAATTGGCAATAAAATTTTGGTGGAAGTTTTTTGCAGAAAATGAAAGAATTGCACAGCGATTTAGAGTGGTTCGACTTTCTCAACCAAAGTCTACGTCCACTACCTTAGCTATCCACACTAAGGATTTTTCACAAATTCACTAATTTGTCTTTCTTTTGAGGACAAAGAGTACCTTACAAACCCTTAAGAATTATACCTCAATTCTTGAGAACACTCTCTCCCAAAGAGACAATACAAATTTGCAAACTTACAAGGAATCCTCACAGGTAATTGTTTGCACAATTCTAGAACAAAGAAAAAACACTCAAGAATGAATACAATTGAGCACAATAAGTGTTCTTGAAAGCAAAATGAATATTGAATGAAAAATAGCTTAAAATGCTCAAACTTGAGGTTTGATGCTTTCTCTTTGATTCTCTCTTGATTCTAAGTGCTTGATGATTCTTGTTGTTCATAAATGGCTTCTAAGCTTGCTTAAATACACCTTGAATCACTTCTGAACATTGGGATGATTAGAGAAATATATAGCTGTTTTAGTGTGAAAACAATTAATAAACAGCTTTGAGCGTGGGGGGAATCAGTACCCCCTATGGGGAATCGGTTCCCTAAGTGTAAAATTCAAATATTTCGACCGTTACACAGGGGGAATCGGTACCCCCTGGGGGGGAATCGGTTTCCCTCCGAGCATACTGGAATTCTCGGAGCTAACCATTCAGGGGAATTGGTACCCCTTGGGGTGAATTGGTTCCCTCTGGAATTTTGGCTTTGAAATGGTTCAAAATACTTTGTAAAATTATTTTGAAATTATTTTAAGATTAAAACTTAATTTTACACTTGATAAGGATTAAAAATGATTTTTGAAAGATTTAGAGTAATGTTTTGATATTCGAATAATTATATCGAATATACTTAGAAATCTTTTTGGAAAATCTTAAAATTCATTTAACTTAATTTGTTATATCGAAATATCAAAATATTTTCAACACTTATTGATAGCCCGAAGGACTTCAACATCATGCTCGAAAGACTTACTGGCACTTACTGATGGTTTGCTTCACTACTCTTCCGTGAAGGCTTACAATTACCCAAAGGATTTTAATCATCATGCTCGAAAGACCTACTGATGGCCCGAAGGACTTCATCATCATGCTCGAAAAACTTACTGGGGTTTGCTTCACTACTCTTCCGTGAAGGCTTACAAATTACCCAAAGGATTTAATCATCATGCTCGAAAGACCTATGATGGCCCGAAGGACTTCATCATCATGCTCGAAAGACTTACTGATGGCACTTATGGTTTGCTTCATACTCTTCCATGAAGGCTTACAAATTACCCGAAGGATTTAATCATAATGCTCGAAAGACTTACTGATGGCCCTAAGGATTTAAGCATCATGCTCGAAAGACTTATTGATGGCCCGAATGACTTACTAAGTACGAAATTTTGGAAATCGCCTTTTTAGTTTTCAAAGGTTTCATTTTCTTAAAACATCACTTTCTTATTTTTCAAATTCATGTGAAAACATCCTACCCAAAGGTCTTATGGATGGCCCGAAGGACTTATCATCTTGCTCTAAAGGCTTACAGATGACCCGAAGGATTTTTAATCATCATGCTCGAAAGACTTACTGATGGCCCGAAGGACTTAAATTGTTTACTGGGTAAGAAACCTTTCTTATTTTTCATAATCTCAAATTTCATATTTCAATGAGAAATCTTTCTCATTTCACTTCATAAAACGACTTAATGGTCGGACCACGTGCCCCACTTCAAAGTAATGCTTCCTCTGTGGATTGACCCCTGCATTCCTCAGGTTCTGCCTCTCTAAACATGATTACATGTATTTAATGTTTAACTTCTACCTTTCAATTGTCAGGATTTTAAGAACCTGCATCTTTTCTTTTCACTGGACGATCTGTCAAAATCATGTGTTTCTGTATGAAACACGAATGCAATTAAATGTATCAATGTAATGCATTTTGTTTTATGCAAATGTTGTTCTCATGAATGCATAAATGTCGATTCAATCTTCATTTGACTTCAAAGTGGTGAACTTAGTCTTCTTCTACTTGATCATTCCTTTCCAGGGTTTGTTTTAGATACCCTTACAACATTTTATAATTTCCAAATTGTATTTCTAAAGAGTCATCTGATCTTCTTCTACCTTCTTGTTGTCTTTGTTTTCTATCTTCATTTTGGAGAAATTATTTTCTCTCTCAACTTCTTTCTATGGTCAGAAATACGATTGTGTTGCCCTTATTTCCTTCCTTGGCTCAATTACGCTTTCTGAGTTGTTCTTTCAAGACTCTTCCATTGATTGATGCTCAGTTGGTTTATTTTACAAAGTAAGCTCTGCTCAAATTCACGGTCTTCCCCTGACACTTCAAATTGTGAGACTCATTCTCAATATCTTCTTGGTCTGAATCTTGTCATCCAAACATGATCTGGGTTTATGGTCATACCCCAAAGTGGGTACTCATGGATTTCTTCGTGCCTAACAAATCCTAACTTGAATGTTCTCATTCTAGTGTCACTACACAGTAGTGTTGTCAAGTAGTTTGAGGGTGTCTCTTCACATTGTCATAAACACTTAAGAAGTGATCAATTCTTCTAACAAAATATCTTGCATTTTATACAAGCTGTAATATGTGCCCTTCTGAATAATGATATCTTCTTCTTGATGGTTATTGACAATGTCACAAGGAAATGTTATAAGTTATATTCTTCATTTATTATGTTCTCTTGGACCATCTACTTCAAGATTGTGGAATGCTTCATGTTCTGGAATCGCTTATTCTTTTTCTCCAATAAAGGCATAATGAGTCTCACCAGCTTTAAGGAACTTTCACACTTGAAACTGTCATGTTTGAAAATGTTTTCCCCTTTCTCTTATTTTAGGGATCAAAGAATGAAAGAATTTTATAAAATATTACCCCTTAATTTAGGCTCATAATCGAATCAAATTATAACCATGAGTTCACATAATATCAAAAGAATCAATAGCTCTTTAATGTTTTTAGGGTTATAGCTTTTTGACAAGAGTCAAAATTTGAGGAGTTGGCTTCTTATTTTATAAGGTTTCGGCCACCAAAATTTCATTTCATTCTCAGTCATCGTGAATATTTTAACATGCACCTCTTTCTCAGCTTGGTATATTAATCGGATACATACAAAATGACGCAACTAGCATAATCAATTACTAGACTTTCTAAAACACTTCTATTTCAGTTCTCTGAAATCTTCCATTTATTCAAGCTTCGTAGTCTTCTCTAACAAAGGAAGTGCAAAAATATCAGTTTAAAAATGAAATTCCTAAGTGCTCGTGTGAAATTGACTATAACAGGTGTTCTTTAACTCCCTTATTCCATCTTTACCGAAACTCCTTATTCATAAAATTGATTTAATTTTCCATTGTATGGCTAGTTGAAATCAACTTTATTGTAATTTGCCTTTATCGGGCTAGCTGAAGGGTTCATCTCATCACAAATTATTTGACTTGACAATCACAATGGAGCATACACCGAATTGCCAAGTACCCGATCAAGGTCATGGTTTGAATATAATCTATTCATAAAGCTAGGGATTTCAAGTTTCCTCTATAACCAATTGCCTTAGCGGAATATCTCAGCTTTATTGTATATATAATATAATCACCTTTATCAGGGTAGCTGAATTTTATCCATAAAGTTAGGGCGTTTAACCAATTGTTCTAGAGGAACAACTCAAGCTTTATTATATACATATAATGTTATAATCTGGGTATACGGATCCAATTTCTTAAGCTTGTCAAGAAGAACATGTCATAGTCTAGGTGTTGTTGAAAGTCAGAAAATCTCATCGTTAGAGTTCAATTCCCAAGCAACTGACCTAAACTAGACTCATTTACTTGACTATTCCATCGGTAAAGATCATAATCATCATTGAAGTTTCATCAACAAAAGTTTGGTCTATTTAGCATTGTAACATCATACACAAAATATGCCTCATGTTGTTCGCTCCTATGCATACCTGAATACCAAGTCTATGGTTCATTCCCTTATGATAGAAGAAGGTTATATCGGTCCCTGCAATAAAAAGGTATGGTGTTCGATCGTATCTTCTGGGGATAAGGTCAAGGTCCTTGTTTTATCATGTTTCAACCTTTTCATTTTGTCAAAGATATATAACTCTAATCATTTAAAGAGTTTTTAGTTCACTTGATATTCAAAGAATTTTAAGTTGCAAATTCGATTCAATGCTCACCATATTTAAAGTAACATGAATTCATTTAAATATCATTAAAAAGGAAAAAATTGATGATAAAGTTAAAAAAACATGTTCAAACAAGATGTTGCAAATGACATAAAGTTTCATGAAATGACTTCTTCCCAATTATGATGCCCCATTACTCATCTAATGTATCAACACTTGACCCAAACGGATGTTACATTATGTGCTTTGACGCCCCACTCGAGCTCATCATCCACTATTTCAACAATTCTTGTGTTAATGTCCCATTTTCCACAAGCATCTTTATCTCCTTTAACAGCGGCCTACAATTCCCCGTAAAATGCCCCAATGTCCCAAGTGGAAATCTCAGACACTATCTTGATCATAGCTGTGAGCAGAAGGGTCTGGTTTCACTTTTACTGGCCTCGGTATGAGGTATTAACCTTTATCCAAATGGGGATACAGATCCGAGATAGAAGTTTGGAACACTTTCAAAGTATTTTTCGATCTTGGGACTTTCTTTGGACGACTCGAGTAACATGCTATCCCTTTTCTTTTACGGTTGTGGGAGCTCTGGATATGACATTCATTCACCTCATCAGCCTTTTCCTTTTGATATGTTAGATGTTTGGAAGTGACTTTCAAGTTTCCTTTGCTGATTGCATCTTCAATTAACTCTCTAGCCATCATAATATCCTTGAAACCCTTCGTCGAATTTCCCAACATTAACTCAAATAAATGAGTTAGGAAAGAATCTTGAAACATACATGATATTTCTTCTTCTAGCAAAAGAGGTTGAACTTGTATTGTCATTCCTCTCTATTTTAGGGCATATTCTTTAAAGCTCTCAGTAGATTTCATCCTCATCCTTTGAAGGTCATGACTTTTTGGGGCTAAGCCTTTAACATATTGATATTACCCCGGAAAAGCATCAGATAGGTTTACCCATGTCTTGATTTACTCTTTGTTCAAGCGGTTATACCATACTACAGCTGGCCCAGCAAGACTATCATGGAAGTAATGAATCAACAGATTGTCATTATTTAGGTACCCTTTCATCTTTCTACAAAACATCTTCAGATGAATTAGGGGACAACTAGTGACATCATATTTCTCAAAATTAGGCACCCTAAATTCATGTGGGATGACTAAATCAGGCACAAAACTGAGTTCCCTAGCTTCTAACTACTTGTGAGTGGTATTAACAACCTTCATATCTTTAAGGGCTTCATTCAACCACTTGAACTCGTCTTCAAATTGCTCAAAATTGACGAGGCTCATCCCTATGTTTGAGTTAGATGCTCCAGGGCAAATTATCACCCTTGATATACCAGTCTGATGAGATTGATTTCCTTTATCCTCCATTTTCTCTTTACCAGCAGCCTGTGGTATCAGTACCTGGATCATTTGATTCGATATGCCTTCTAGAGAACCCGATGCTTGATTCATTGTATCTTGTTGTAACCCGACCAATTGCTCTTGCAACTGATCTTGTGATTCCTTATGAGATTGCTCTATTGTTTCCATTTGTTTGTTCATGAGGATGAGGAAGTAGTATGAATGAATGATCTTGTTATTACTGTCACATAACCTTCCATAAATTATTTCTGTGTTTTTATAATTAATGCATGTAAAATGCTTAAATAAATACATGTAATGCAAATGCAAATAAAAAAGGTGTCATTCTAGAGTGACCATCTTAAAAAAACTTTCATTGAACACAAAGGTCTAGGTACATCAAACAAACTTTACATATAATGGACAGCTTTCACTCTAACTTTTCTATCTTCTTCAAAAGCCAATTTAATTTTCACTCATACTCGGGGGTCGAGTTGTCAATCTGCTTCAATTCTCTTGTAAAGCCAGCTAAATCAACCCATTTGTGAGCCACGTCGCTTGCTTGGGTCATAACTTCTTTCATGACTTTGTCCCTTTTCTCTATCTTGAGTGTCGATTCTCGGAGCTGTAGACACTGCTGTTGAATCCTCCTTGTAAGAAAGTCATTGTGATTATGAAACTCTTGCATAAGATCACTACAATCATCCATAATCTTCATCAACTTCTTGTTCTTGGCTCTAGTGGCTTCTAGCTTAGCTTCATTTTCCTATTTGTGGCGTTGATATGACATTTCCATGTTGGCTATGGAAAAATTCAACATCTTATTTTCGGCTTGATATTTTCCCAAATTATCAATGGCTATATTGCGCCTTCTTTCTGCAATCTGTAAATCATGAGAAAACTTCTCGGCTCGACCTTCGTGCACCTTACAATTCTTTCTCCATTGTTCAGCGTCATTCTTCAGTTTAGTGACTCCTGTTATCCACTCATCTGGGATATTTCCTATACCAGCAAATTTAAAAGCTTGACTGATCCTTTGAAAATCATCTCGCATGGCTTTCATCTCTCTACTCAATTTATCATTTTACTTCTTAAATGAAGAATCTGAGCTTCGTACTTTGGCAAACAATCTTCTTCTTGGATGTCATCATTGATACCCTTACCTTTGGTCACTTTTGGTTCGAACCCAACAGGATAATCCGTTACCAAACTAGGTTGTCCTTTCAATTCAAACTCCAATACTCCATGATCTAGTAGAAGTTGGACTCAACGTTTGAAGGTAGAACAATTCTCAATAGAATGTCCTTGAACTCCAGCATGATATTCACAATAAACGTTGACGTCATACCAACTTGGATATGGAGGTTGTAAAGGTTTCACATAATACAGGGCCACTTCTCGGGATTCTAACAGTTCATCATACAACTCCTTATATGATATTGGGATGAAATCACAACGAGAGCCATCTCTTAACTTGGGTTGGACTGGAGTTTACAATTTTACTTCCCCTGATGTTGGGAGTAGACTATCAAACACCAACGAGTTATGACTGCATGGCTTCTTTTTATCTTTCTAAACTTCTACAGTGGCCACTATTTCCTTGGCGTTTCCAAACAGCTAGTTGATACGAACAATGATTGTGCGTGATTTCTCATATTGGCTAGGATAAGCATGCTCTAAAGTAATCTCTTGCATATTTGACACCTCAATATTGTTTTCATCGAGCTCTTTCTTTTCTGTTATAGAAGTTCCATTTCCTTTGGCCAAAGCATTTATTATATCCATCATCCTGAACATCTGCTATTTTATCTCTCTTATCTCCTTTTGCTCTTTGTGCGCCATATGATCTTTTTACGCACAGCCCTCCACTATTCTTAAAGCTTTCACATGATGCCACTTCTTGACTGTGTTATAGCTTGCTTGATCACAAAACCCTTTGTCTGTCATGAAAACCTTTTACTATGATGACCTCTCACAAATCAACACCTTTTAATTATGTCGTGATCATGCAATGCAGACAAAGAGAAAAACAACATAAAAACAAGTTAGTACAAATAAGATATCAAAATGACAAAAATAAAAAAATAGCAAAATAAATTAATAAGCTAATGAAAAATAAGAATGCAAATGCAAATGCAGAAGGTGTTAATTCCAAAAGTGACCACCATAGAACAACCTTTCATTTAGACAACAAGAATTCAGTAAGTACACCATGTAGTCAAAATATAAATGTGATTCTTCATTTCATTGAGTCGTACTCTACATGGAATCTAACATTGCACCCCAAAGTTGTCGGCGTATTTTATCACCTTTGATGATGATGGATGTCCTTTTTGAAATCTCCATTCTTACTTGCGAAGTTGTCTTCATGTTTATATGAAAGGTCTTCTCGTTCTTGGCATGATTGTATCTATCTCTTGAGTCAACATCTTGGCCTTTTCCCCCATTAAAGGAAGTCTTCAATCATCTTCAGATTTCTTCATTCAACGGATATCATTCTTCATGGATCAGTCGAATATCTTTGGATCTCCCAGTTTTGACTACATGGTTGAGAATTTCTTGTCTCAATATGTCCAGCCTTCTTATTAGTCAATCACTTGTGAATTAACACCTTTGAATGACATGAAGATGTGAATGCAATAAAATCAAAATAAAATGGACATAGAACAAAAATGGGTTAGTGCACATAAGATAAACAACAAAATAATAAGTACCATAAACATCAAATAAAACCTACCCTCACATGCTGACTACCCAATCATACTTTAGTTGATCCTACTCAACATGATACATACCTCATGCTTTGTCATTCACAAAAATCCTAACCACATGATATCTAATTCGCATACTTGTTCAAGAAAAAATAAACCTAACAACATGATTTTTAGTTCGCATACATGTTCAAAAAAATAAACTTAACCGTATGATTTCTAGTTTGCATGCTTGTTCGAGAAAAATAAACCTAACCGCATGATTTCTAGTTCGCATACATTTATTCAAAAAGCAAAATTAAATGACTAAAAAAACTTTTCCTTGTGTACCCTCCTCATGAGACTCTTAAAGCTTGCCGGTGCCCCCTTGGGCTATCGAACCGTCAATCCTAGCCCATCATAATCTTTAGGGGATCGAGTTCAATTTAGAGGGAACACACCTCCTTATGTCCGTGCGGAGGTGAATACATCACGAGAACCATAAGGCGTGAGCTCCAGGAGCGATCCACTATCACATGCAGAGGTTCGAGCCACACGAAGGCATAGTCTCTCACTCCTACTTAATTTGGACGAAGCGGAGTTTTAGATCATGTCATGAAAATGCAACTATGCAGTGTGTGAGGAAAAGAGAAAAACACAAAATAAAAACACACAAAATCAATTCCCAAAACATACAATTAATCTGAAACCATTAGCAAACAGATCAGTACAACTATTTAATGGTTAATCAAATTATAAACAAAAATATTAAAACCAAACAAGGGATTAAAACCAAATTAAAACAAATCTATAACTTTCAATTGCAAAGACACTTAATTAATCGACTATCAGCCTGACTCTCTAAAAACAGTCCCCAGTGGAGTCGCCAAGCTGTCGAAATGATTTTTTCTTAAAAACTAAGATATTTTAAAAACCACGCCATTTTTAATTATCCTTTTATGATTAAATTTTAATTAAAAGTGAATGTGATTTTAAAAACCTCTCGTTTCGAAATATTTTGGATTTCCTTTACGATAGAAAATACGGTTCGAGGATTCGCCACCAATCTTTGATTAGGGTGTGATTGGGCACCCAAAACCGTTTTGTCATTTTAAATAAAAATTAATTTTAATTACAACAACAAGTTGGAGTCTGCATTACCAAAATTGAGTTCGGGAGTCGGTTACGTGTGGGGAAGGATTAGCACCCCCACAACGCCCTAAATCGGTACCTAGGCGATTAACTAACGTCTTTGCAATGAACTTTACAAATTCAAACTTAATTTGATTTTTGATCCCATAAAACAACAAATATGAATTTTACAACATTCAAAAGCACCCAAATAGATTAAGTTAAAATTACTGAGTCGTTTTAGAAAGATAAAGAATGTTCGATTATTTAAAAATATCGAGATCAGATCTTAGATGAGTTGTAACAACCTTTTCTCGAAAAATTTAAATAATCGAACATTTCCTTTTCTTTTGTTCCCAAATTTTAAGTGACGAGTCAATTTTTAGGTTTCACTTCCGGGATACACTTTTAATTTAAAATCATCAAAACGACCCTCTAATGAGTTAAGACAAGCCGCTCAAGACAATTTTAAATCAAAAGAGTATTACCCTTAGTCCGATTATGTATTTATAAGTCAAATTATGAACATGAGGGTATCATACAAATTGTGCAAAAAGGATGTCATGCCAAAAATTAATTAAAAAAGTATTATGATTAAAAAAATATCATACAATGTGACATACAATATATATATATATATATATATATATACACACACACATATATTTTTAAATTAAAAATTATAAACTATGCTTATTAATCTATAATGTACAAATGTGACTCAAATATAAAAATAAAAACATGACATGCTAAACTATAAACTTTAAAAAAGTATATATATACATGTTAAAATAATGACTAAATTTAAATATATGCAAATTAAACATGTAAAATTTGAAATAAACCAGTGACCTAAATGCACATTCATTGCAAATCTGGGAGGACTAAAACTAAATTATTTCCAAATAAAAGCCTATATAAATAACCAACATATAAAAAGCTGCAAAACTACTTAATCAAGACACCAAAAAGCTAAAGTAAAATGAAAAGCATGATAACAGTACCTAAAGAATAAATACACGGTTAACTTTCAATAAACATTTAATATAAAAGAACTTATTTTAAACTAATCTCACCCTAAACCTAAACTAATACATCCAGCAACCTTTCATTTCTTCTCCTCTCATTCATGGCCGCACCTTAAACAAACCAGAGGACTCCAACGCCGCCGGCCACCTTTCTTCAACGGAATTCTACACTTCGACCATCAAACCCTGATGACCAGGTAACTACATTCAACATTAAAAAAGGTTTGGCTTTCTCCTTTTACCTTCAACAACCTTAGTCGAGACCCTCTCACACCTTTCATTTTCAAACAGAGAGTTGCGAAACTCTCTACGCCGGTCACCCTGCTCAACAATTTCGGTAAGGACCCGAAACCTTCTCCTTCTTCTAATTTATTTTATTGTTCGTCGTTTTAATCTCAGACTTATATGGTTTTATAACACTAACCCCAGTCCATATCTCCACCAATTAAACCCCGACCGAATAAGATGTAACCACTAAGTCTACCGTCATCCTCATCTAAGGTAATTTTCTAATTCCTTTCTCTGCTATTTTTTATGCTTTGAAAGAAAAACAACAAGCCACGTATAACATTATTGAGTATTTCGAAAAATAAAGAAACAAAAGTAACCTGCTTATGGATTGCTTATATTGCTTTCGAAAGAGATAGGGAAGACCCCTGTTACACTGCTTGAACCTTGAATACACTTGAAGAATAGTTACTTGTATGCCCTGTATATTGAAGTGGAATCCCATATTTACTTCCCAAGATCACTTCTATTGCTTTTCGGAAAAAAGGTTGAATCCCTTTGTTACACTTTTAATTTTTAACTATGGAAAAAGAAAATCTTTACGCCCACTACTTTTTTTGTTCCCCCTCTATTGTGTAAAAAAAACAAATAAAATGGTCTCCCTCCATTTCCTTCAGTTTCCAGTAGTTTTATGAAAAAAACCGACCCTCACCCCACTAACAGTTTCTTTCTCTCTACCCTTTTTACCGTTTTTCTTCCCTTGTTGGATATCCCCACGTCTTCGGCATCTGTTTCCCTCTCCTTATTTATTTGTTGCAAGTACGTGGAAACGGTTGAGGAGGAACAAGATAACTAGCCTCTAGAATCTTTTATGGCCTTAGTTCGGGCTTGCTTCGATTGGGTCTCCATTTGCTAAGTGTAGTGTTGCCTTGTAATTGGGCCTATAAGAAATAAAAATAAACAGTATTAATATAATAATAATAATAATAATAATAATAAATATATCCCGGAAAAAATGGGTGTATACACGTTGAATCTACAATGACTTTCTTCAACTCACTATGATGCTTCTTGTCACAAAACTAGCTCAGATCACTGTTGAATCCATAATACCTACACTCTAACTTGCTATGATTTCCACTTCCACCAAATATGTACAAAACGATCGTTGTATGCCCACAATGACTCGCTCTAACACCATTTGCACAAAATCTACCTGAAACAATCATTGTTACACCAACAACTTGCTCTGATATCACTTGCCACTGGGCTAGACTTCTGCTAGTCGATTCATGCAGCACTTAGACGATTTTCATGTCAAAATGGTGCCTAAGTCAGCCTTAACCACGTCCTTATAAGTCTCTAGATCACTAAGCGATGTACAAACCCGCTAGGGTTAGACATCAATGCGGAAGAAAAATACCACTAGGGCTAATCCAAACCACCAAGGTTGGAGCGGATCTTAGAAGCACGAGCAATGTGGGGACTTTCTAAGTCACCACGACTTGAACCACCTTGAAACTTCAAAAGAACTCAGAAAGAAACAACTCTTGAAGCTATCTCAGCCCTCACATTCATCAACACAAGCCACAAAGGCTTTAGCACAAAGGGGAACAAGCCGACAAGGCTAGAAAGCTAGAAACAAAGAACTCATAGAGAGTAAGAGTAAATGCCTAAGTTTATTACTCTGAAATAATAAAATTGATGGAATGATTACAATGAGTGGATGAGCTCTCTATATATAGTTGAGACCCTCAAGATCCAATGGTCTAGATCAAAGTACATCGACGGCTTAGATTTAATCATACCTTATTCAGAACTCTATCTCTAAGGCATTTGAATTCAAATAAAACATTATCCTAACTAAGTATTTATTTCCTTAATTATTGGATAATATTATCCTTTCTGGAACCTTCTAAGGAACGGTTTAGGTCTGATGGTTCTAGGCAAGCCCAACACTCAATAGGATTATCCTACAAAATTCACACACACATGTCTCGGTTCGAATCCATGAGCCTTGATAAAATTACCCCCATTGAACATTTAACACCATCGTCACTTCTCTCGGACGCCTCAGACTTGATCCTTCACAGACTCGTAAGCATTCTCCAAGAACTGTGCCAACTCAACATACCCAACAAGCCCAAATCTGCGTACATAGAACCCCTCTTATGAATATTTGTTCCAATGTCCATGTACCCAAAAGTTTAGTCCATGACATTAGCAATTAATTATAGGATGGTAGGCCCAACTTGATAGTTTGGATGAGCTACAGCAGTATTTGTTAATTTAGGCTTCCAGAACCTTTCAACTTAACATGTTTGTTTTCTTTGCTCCCGGATATTCATTGTTATATATTATATGTTGGCATTGAAAATCAAATTCGATGAGGCATCAAGTTCTTCCATATTAATGAGAAGAATAACATCAAGCTCTGATTGTTATTTTTATTTTTAGTATGAGTTAGGTATTTATTTAATTACCATTTTTATATGTCTCTTTCTATCCTCTAAAACATGATCTCTTTGTTTCCATTTTTAAAGAAAATAGCAGCCCCTAGCAATTCCATCTTAGGGTTTATTATCGGCTGCCTCTCTAAACAAACTATAAGGTAGCGTTTGGTTCGCTGGAATCCCTTAGAATTAGGGGGAATCGGAATCCAATTCCACCACTTTCCCATGTTTGGTTCAAGTTTTCAAAGTGGGAATTTGAATCCAATTCCATCAAGGGAGGGAAACTAAATTCCATCCATAACATGATAGAATTGAAATCCTTTGGAGGAGGGAATGAGAAATTTGACCATACTACCCTCATCAATCTTTTGGTATTCGGGTCGGGTCGGATTTTTTTAAAAAAATTGGGTTCGGGTCGGGTTTTTTAAGTTTGATATTCGGGTCGGGTTTTTTTAAGTGTGATATTCAGGTTTAGGGTAAAAAATACCCGAACCAACCCGAAAAAATATATAATTTTACCTTATATATTTAGGAATAATTACAATAATATCCCTCTATGTATAATTGTTTTCAATTAAGTCACTTTTTATTGAATAAAAATAATTTTTTTATTATTTCGGGTCGGGTGAAACTTTATTTCGGGTTTGGGTCGAGGGTGGGTCTCGGGTGGAGGTTCCCTTGTTCTCGGGTCGGGTCGGGTGGATCAAAAACCTGACCCGACCCATGGTCATCCCTAATTGGGATGATTTTAACTTATGATCTTTATTAGATGATTTTTATAATTTATTGAAATGAATAATCAATCAATAAAATGAAAATTTAATATTTTTTAAATTTTTGTAATATATTGTTACATGTAAGTTATAAAACAAACTAAAATTAAGTAAAAAAAAAAAGGGTAATTCTGTCATTTTACATTACTGACATCAAATTCATTTGACATGTATGCGAACCAAACAGAATATAGAATTGGATTCCAATTCAATTTCCTGCCAACCAAACATGTTTCAGATTCAGATTCTAATTCCTTCAAATTCCAATTCCTTCACAGATTTCAATTCCCTCGTAAACATTCCAGCGAACCAAACGTCACCTAACTAATTTTGCGAGCCTCTGTTTTTTAGGTCTCAGCTACGAGAACGAAGATGAGCAACATTTTCTCAGCTAAGAAGACTGCGAACTTGGTTTTAATAATCATGGTCATTAACATTGTTTTGGCTCTGATGGCACCATCAGAGTTAGGAAAAGGAAACGCCAGAAGAAGGGACGGTTTCGGCCGCATATGAGGGGGAGGACGGTTTACGAATGGTCATCGTGTTCGTACTCGGGGTCGGGAACCCAATTTCATCTTCCGTATCATTGGACCCTGACATGCTTTATTTTTTTCGGGGGTTACAAAAGAACAAAACTGCATTAGCAGTGAGAAGATCTTCTTCCCTGGGAAGCTTGATCAGAAAGCAGGACACGTTGAGCTTCCATTGGTGGGTAATTGAACATTGATAACCCCATTCTCGTTCCACGCCCAAGTTTAGTCATATGGTCGGCAAGCATATTGGACTCGTGGTGTCTAAAGTGTGTCGAATAGCCCACTGTTTGCACAAATAGAATCTAATCATTCTGATAAGGGTTGGTTCATAAGATCGGCTTGGAGAAGTGAGGCAACGGATTGCTTCGATGTTATCTGATTCCACCTCCAGTTGTCGAATGCCACAGCTCCAAGCAATGTGTAAGCCATCAAGAATTGCCCAGAGCTCCGCTTGAAGTGTGGAGCAATTACCAATATTCCTGGTGTAACCCCGAACCCAATCTCCATTTTTGTTACATAGAACACCCCTACTAGATGCTTCCATTGAAGCTTGGTTGACGCCGCCACCAGTGTTCAGCTTATAAAAGCCAGGTCTGGGTCGTTGCCAGTGAGTGATTCTCCTTCCTTTGTTGATGGGGGGAGGGTACTGATGTTTGTGTTTGACCACCCTTGCCCAAGCTTTGGTGGATTGGATAGTCTCCATAACTGATCGTATTTATTTATTGAAGATAAGGTCGTTCCTATTTTTCCACAGTTGCCAACAGAGAATGCTGAAGAGGTGTGGCCAATGCCAATCGTCATTTGGAGTCCCTGCAATAAAATTTAGATTTAGTCGAAACCAATCAAACAAAGTTGAGGCAAGAAACCTGATTCCAAATTTCCTGGAACCAGTTGGGACCATAAAGAGCGGGCTTGATGACAATCTCTTGAAGTATGAAGGATAGTTTCCTTCGATGTTCCACAGGCTGGAAAGCTTCGGTCCGTCGTGATCCCCTTTCTGGTTCGCTCGACATTAGTCAACAGGCGTTGTCGAAGAGCGATCCAGAGGAATTTCTTCACCTGCAGCGGTCCATCGAATTTCCACGCAAGGTTCCACTTCCAGCAGCTATCCTTCGGATCCTAAGTGTCTTGGAGCATTACCGTCGCCGCTGACTTGACTTTGCATTGGCCGTTTTGCTCCCACCGCCAGATCGGTTTGTCCCCTCCCAAATCCCCATAAGGATAATGCATGCCCATGACCCATTTGACGAGCTATCCATCAAGTTCATGATTAAGCAGCTGGGTATTCCACTCTCCTTCACCATTAATAAAATCACCAACAGTGGCATCGGGCTTGGAAACACTTGCTGCATTAACATGATCAATCAACTTGTTTAAATCGGACATCCATTGGTCGGTCCAGAACTCTGTGGTTTTACCATCCCCAATCGACCAACAAACATTTTACCGGATGAACTCCCAAACACGAGCGAGAGACATCCAAACGAAAGACCCGTTTCTAGCTTCGATACACGCGGTCATGGACTGAGTAACTTTGTACTTAGCTCTCGTGATGCTAGCCCAGAGGGTATCCGATTGCATAACAAAATTAAACCCCAACTTCACTAGAAAACCGTCGTTCTACCCTCGAAGAGGTCTAATTCCGAGACCACCGTTGATATAGGGTTGACAACAATTTTCCCACTTAAAAAGGTTAATTTTCGGTGAACCTTAAGATTCACCCTAGATAAACCGGCAAGCTATATGTTCAATTTGGTCAAAAACACCTCTCGAGATGGCTATCGTTTGCATAAAGTAATTGGGAATGGCCAGAAGGGTAGACTTGGCGAGTGCAATACGACATGCTAGAGACAGTTTAGTCGTTGTCCAATTGCAAAGCTTTTTACGAACATTATCAATAATGAACTGAAAAGTGTTTTTTATAACTGTTTTATGGAAAAGCAACATGCCCAGATATTTCCCAAGGTCTTTGGAGGCCTGGAATCCAATCGAATTGCACAAGAAAGTAGCTAAATCATCACTAGTATTCTTCGATAAAAAGACCCTGGTCTTATTTGGATTAAATTTGTGCCTGGAGAATTGTTAAACTTGTCCAGAACAACGCCTAGGAGATTAAATTCATCGGGATCCGCCCTGCAAAATAAGATCAGATCATCAACAAAAAATAAATACGATAAAAGGGGGGTCCCCGCGAGAGGATTATCGGTTCCCAAAGACTGACATCCATCACGTATTGCACACTATGCTCAAATCTTTCCATACAGAGCACAAAAAGTATGGGGAGAGAGGACATCCCTGTCATATTCCTCTAGACGGTTTAAATTCTTCTGTCATTCCTCCATTCCAAAGAATTTGCATAGCGGATGATGAGGCTAACTCCATAATGATATAGATATTTGGGGACAACCCATGTCAATAAGAGAATCCAAAAATCCCAGCCGACTCTATCATAAACTTTCTCCAAATCCATCTTTACGGCCATCATCGGGTTTTGTTTTTCTTCCTATTCATGGAATGGATTGCTTCTTGGGCAACAAGAATATTTTCCGTGATGTTTCGTCCTGCAATGAAACTAACTTGGTTCGGAGCAATGATTCTAGGAAAAATTGTTTTGAACCGGTTAGCGATAATTTTCATAACAAGCTATATAAACAGAACATAAACTAGTTGGGCGAAAATCAAGCGTAAGTCGTGGGATTGTCAACCTTGGGGATAAGCATAATATGGGATTTATTTAGCTCAAGTTCAATAGCCTTATCATGAAAAATACCTTTTTACCCAGGTGCATACAGACTCACCCATTGTCTCCCATTGGCTTTGGAAGAAGAGAGCATGAAGACCATCCTTTCATGGAGCTTTAAGCGGGTTCATATCAAAGAGAGCCCGCTTGATTTCGTCATTAGTGACCATAGTCTCAAGGCTAAGAGCCTCATTCTCTGTGAGCTTGGGAAATTTCCCTTATGATGGGAAATGACCCCATTCTTTGTTCTTCCTCATGGTAGAGTTTGGAGAAATAATTGGTAGCTTCCCTTCGCAATCTGTTCTCATCATAACACCAGTCCCCTTCAATCAATAAGCCTTGAATGCGGTTTTCAAACTTAATTATAGAAGTTTGAAAAGTAAAAAAAAAACGATGGCTAAATGAATATGCTTAATTATTAAGCAAAGTGCATGCTTAATAATTAAGGAAAAAACGTGGTAACACCAAATATTAGCAGCAAGCAATTTTTATCAAATAAGAATGAATTTTGAAAAGTCAAAATTGCATGGAGTTCATTCATGGCAAGCAAGTATTAAGACGACAGAGAGAAATTGAGAAGCATCCAGAGTATCTCAAGGTGGTTTATTACATCTATATATACGGGTGTTTTCCTTATTTTTATTTAACCTCATTTTTTGTTCATTTGATTTTTTGATATTTTTAGTTTAATATCTTTTATTTACTTAATTTTGTGTTATTTATAAAAAAAATTCTTTTCTTCTTTTTTTCCCAAAAAAATTTGCTTTCATTCCACCATTTTTTCCTTCAATTATTTTTTTTCTTGCTTTTCATGTTTATATAATTTAATTTTTTTAATTTACTTCAATTTGTTTTTAATTAATTTAGAATTTTTTTTCTATTTTGATGGAGATTATTCTTCATTCAATCTTCGTGCTTGACTTTTTTAATTCATTTTCTTTAACTTTTGACTTATTTTTAACATAATAAAAAAATTTCTCTTTATTTTAATTAATTTGCATACTTTTGTATATCATGTGATATTAATTGATTACCTTGTATGTATGTATTTTGTATATTTGTGTAAACATATAGATTGTATATATAAATTTAATTTATGACATTTTCAAATATACAAGTATAGTATCTTCACGTGCATAACTTGATACTTTTCATAATTAATTAAAAAATAATATTTATTTATTTTTGAATTATCGGAAAGGATTGTCCTAACCTTATGATTCTGGTGATTTAAAATAAATAAATATTCTCAAGTGAAAAGAAATAAATTGATAAATATTAAAATCAACCATGAGATAGAAATGTGATATTCTTTATTTAAATTTAACAAGGATAGGATGTTCGACCCTATTCGATAGTTTAGTCTCAATATTTGTAACTAATGAATATTCTTTATCTATCTTAAAGGCTTGGTAATTTTCATTAATAAAATATATGTTTGTAGCATAGTCTCAATGTGATTAAAATCAACATTTAATTGTAAGAAAAATTCATGTTTCTTATTTCTTTTATTTGTTTTAATAATTTTTAAATTTAAATTTATTAAAATAATAAAATATTTTTGGGTGATAAAATCATATCCTAAATAAAGATTGGTGGCGACTCTCTTGAACCATAATTTTTAATTTATAAAGGAAAACCCTATTTAGTCAAAATAAATGATAAAACTATTTTTTATATTTTTTGATACGTTATGGCATCGACTTGATTCCAATTGAAAAATCTCTACTCGAAATGACTTGACTCGTAATTTTATAAACTCAACTAAATTTTTTAAATATTTCAAGTCGAGCTATAAAATAAAACTCGGATAACTTAAATAATTCAAAACTTTTAATAATTAAACAATTGGTTTTTAATTTTGACATTCAGTTTTAATTTTAGGGTAAATTACACATTTATTGCATAAACTATAAGTTTTGGTCTGTTTTAGTACCTAACTTTCAGTTTTTTCAAATCATACCCCACTTTCATTTTTTTTAGTACCCTTAAAACTTAACGCATTTAGTACCTAATCATCAGTTTTAGTACCTAAACTTTCAATCTTTTCAAAACTTAATGTTAAATTTTGAACGAATCACTAAATAAAAAAATAAAGTTTTTAACACTGGGGTACTAAAATGAAACAAAAACTAAATTTTATGTATAGTTTTGAAAAACTTGAAAATTTAGGTACTAAACC